AAAAATTTACATTTATTTTAAATTTAAATTTTTCAAAATTTATTTTCGGATTTAATAAATTGGCGTAAATGTAAATAGGCCACCCTTACCTTTGTACCATAACAACAACTTTCGGTTTTGTTTTTTGTATAAAATCATAAACTTTATCTTATCATCAAATGGAAGGAATTTGCGACTTCTATTAATCTCTCATAGCATTTTACTCATCTATAAAAAAAATATCTATAATTAAATTAACCTTTTCGCAGTACGTCATCTGGTCTCATTGGAATAATTGTTCCAAGTGCAAAAATAAATGTATGAACATATTTCATATATAAATAATATTTTGCAACAACATATGATACTGAATCATTTGATAATGTTTGTGATTGTTCAACAGCTAAACGACGCATATGTTCTGGATTAATTTCAATTGAATTATAATGTAATTTAGCTTTTCTTACAGCTTTAAGACCATGACTATCAACAGATAAATAACTATCACGCTTAACCCATTTAATACAATCCATATGTATACATGGACGTGATAAATAACAATCTTGAGAATCTTTTCGAAATTCAATTTCATTAAACATATTTAAACCATAAAATTTGTGCACGTTGTTCAATAAAGGACATATCAAATGAATCACCATTATATGTTACTAATATATAAGGTTTAACATCAACAATATGATAAAAAAAAAATGTTTTATTAATTCAAATTCATTAGGTTCATTAAAAACATGAAAATGACCAGGATATTCTTTTTTTGGTGTATATTCAAAATCATCCATATCTTGTGAAATTATTTCACAATTTATTATTAAATAACCTTGTGTATCAATCATATAAGATATCATCATTATCTATGAAGAGAATTCAAAAAAAAAAAAGAAAATTTCTACAGTCTAACATAACCCAAAAAGAACATTTCGCTAATATTTCAAAACTTTTAGTATTAAGGCTCCCTATCCGAAGTTTCTCAGGCAAAACTTATCATCAACCTAAAATGGTCAGAGGTCTGCCGATGCAAAACTCTATATTTCATTTGCTCGAACTGCAATCTTTTTATCACAAGTAAGACCAAATCGGGATAGGTATTTTTTTTTCTTTCAAAAATATCGTTCTTAGAGCTCAGGAGAAACAAAATACTGGAAGCATCATCAAAAAAAAATGTATTTTTTTCAATGGTAAAGGCTGACGAATTTTGTAGGAACAACATTTGAAGAAAAACATTCATCCCAATTTGAGCCCTATCCAACGTACCGTGTGGGAAAAAAGAAGGGAGACCTTCGTTTTTTTTTGAAGAAAACGAAAGAGAAATTTTCTTGTATATATCAGGGCTTTTTTATGATCGAAAACTAGACGCGTTCAGGTGTGTCAGAGGTTCATGATCTATGCTCTCAATACCTTTAGAAATTATCGGTAGCAGAATTTTGCATACAAAGAATAATCGCAGCGCGAGAGTTGGATTTAATATAAGTAGTAACTAATAACGAAGAGTGCTCATTGTACAGCATTTGGAAACTAAATTAGCGATGAAAAAAACTTTAATTTTAACATCCGAAAAGGGAATAGGGAGTTGTGGGTCCACATTTTTGTGGACCCGGACACAAAAAAAATTAAAAATTTGGCCCTGAGTCGATCCGGATCCTATCGAATTCAAATCCGAAGTTTTTTTCTATCAATACCTGGCATCCTTCGTGTACATGAACAAAGGAAGGATCAAGGTTTCAGCTATTTATTCGCTACTCTCAGAAAAAAACTCAACGTACAGTTATATCTTGTTGCTATTTTTCTCATCTGGAGGGCAGCGGATCCAACAATAAATAAAAGGTTCGATCCAAACCCGAAAAAGAAATAAAATTATGAACCCAGAGTCCGAGTCCTGGACCCAAAAAAAATTAAAGATTTGGGCTCGACCCAACCCAGACCTAGCCGGATCCGGGTCTAAAAGGGCCAGCAACTTCCTAAAAGGAAGAGAATTCCTTTAAGTCTAAAGCAGCAAATTTTTAAAATATTTACATGATCTGATGCAACCGAAGGAAATTTCAATGGTATTTTAGTACATTCAATATCAGATGCAAATATAATTGGTTTTGGTTGTTCAATTAAATCTAATTTTAATAGAACTTGATTTTATGGTCCACTATTTGATTGACCAAGAACACCATACCTAATTATAAAATGAATAAAAAAAATAATAATCATTATTTTCTATATTTAATTATAAATACAAACCAAAGGCCAACATTTATTTTTAAATCAATACAAACTCGAATATGATATAGTACATCAAATTCACGTAATTCAATAATACCATCAATTTGTTTTTCAGCAACATTTGCATTTGAAAGACCATCAACAATAAGATCACTAGTTGAATTTGATGATATAGTTCGTTTTAATACAACTAATTCAGGATGAGATTGTTGTTTTTTTTCACATTCAATATTACGTTTAACAATTGGTTGTAATTCTTTATAAGCTTTCATTGAATCATTAATATCATGAAAACGAAGACGAATAAATGTATGTTGAATACCAGATAGATGATTGGGAAGATCTATATCAAAGAATTAATGAGTTTTTTATTTTTTCTTTTTTAACAACAATAACAAATTCTTATAAGAACGATAGTTTCATTTTTTAAAATATGCTAAGGATCAATCATAGACTTATCAAATCACTAAACATTTAGGAGATTTCATTGAAAAAATTAAAAAATCCTAATGTATACATGTCACAACCGATTAACTTAAAACTTTTTACTCAGTGCCTCCACTATATCTCGCAGAAGAAACCATCCAAGAATTTCAATAAATTTTACTCTACTCTTCGAGATATATAGGTCCTGAGAGTTTAAGAATTTTTTCTGTCGACTTGCTCTAAAGAAACTTCCTAAAGACAAATGAAGGGTTTCATCCTTACACAAATCTATTTATTATTATATATGAAAATATAACATTTTTAATTTCCATACCTAAATCTTCTTTTGCAATAAGATTACATGATAAACATCGATTATGATATCATTTTAATAAATAAACATAAACATCATTTTCTCGTCCAAGTTTTGCTCCAACATAAAAATATAGTGAATATATAACAGAAATTTTAAATCTATCACCTATATCACCAATAAAATAAAGATCAAGTGCTGATACAAATCTTCGACGTTCTTCATCAAATAATTCACATGGTTGTAAACTATAAAGCCAACCAATACGCTCTTCAAATCCTGAATAAAGTAAACATCTATATAATTGATCAATATGATCTGATTGATTTAAATATTGAAGAAATTTTTTCAAATGAATGATCAAGGCCAGCTGATGGAACAATATCTTCAGTAAAATCATCATTATTTTCAACATTTTCTTCAAATTTATCTTCATCCATTATTTATCTGAAAATATTTTTAATGATGACTTTATCAAATAAAGTTTCAATTAAAATAACAATAGTATAATGCAAACTTAAGTATGTTCTCGTGGTAATGATTAATGTTCTCACAACGAACTAAAAATAGTAACTTGTACAGTGTTTTAAGAAGTAATATGGCGTTTTGATAACATTCAGATATAATCTCGTTGGAAAACAACAGTTTAGTAACTACTAGCGATTTAATAGAACTTTAAAAAAATTGGATATTTTTGCAAATTATTTGTTACATCTAGGGGTGGGATATTTACTTTACTTTTTAGTTACTTTACCAAAGTAAAGTAACTAAAATAGTTACTTAGTTACTAGTAAATAGTAACTACATATTTACTTAGTTACTAGTAAATAGTAACTACATAGTTACTTAGTTACTAGTAACTAAGTAACTACATATTTACTTAGTTACTAGTAACTAGTAACTACATAGTTACTTAGTTACTAGTAACTAAGTAACTACAGTAGTTACTTAGTTACTTGTAAACAGTAACTGCAGTAGTTAATTTATAGAGATGCACCAATTCTAATTCATGGAATAGGTCGGCATCGGTTAGAATAGCAATTGCAATTATTAGAATCAGCAGTGATTACGAGTAGGCATATCACAATTCCTATCCATTATTAAGCTATTGACATTGAAGAATGTCATTTTGCTATAATTCTAAGCTTTCTGTTAAAGAAGAATTTTTCAGACAATAACAATTTGTGGTAAAATTTGACCAAAGATAATCGAAGTTGAGAAATCCGAACGTACAGTTAGATTTACAAAATTCGTTACCTGATTTTCTTAACTAAGAAATGGTTATTCAAAAAATTAACGATTTATGTAAGGCTTAATCGAAGGTTATCAGGGTGCAGAAATCGAAATCTGCAATCCGATTCTCACAATTTTGAAGTTTGTTTCCTGGTCAGATAAACTTGTGCCATTTACCAATGCTTCAACTTCATAAAAATTGATAATTTTCTTAAAAACTCTTCCTTGCTGGAAAAAATTTAGTTCAGAATTTTGAAAATCTGATTGCCGATTCAGATTTTTCGACTGCAGTTACCTTCGGTATGACGTTTTCTAGACAGAAGAAGGGTTAGTGGAAGTGAAATTACACTTTATTCGACTTCTTGGTATCATAAACCGCATTTTCATACAAATGTTTCTACGTTTTATGTACTTATGCATCAAAACTAAGCAAGTATCACAATATAACGGTGTGAATAATATACTATAGGATAAGAACAAAGTTTAGAGCAACAATAAAGTGCATCATAAGGACAAAGTGCGTGAGAGGGACAAAATATTAGGCAAGCCTAACCTGCATTGTCACATTCGGTTAAGCTTTATAGAAAATTATTCTTTTCTCAACAAAAACCATTCTTTAGCGAAAAGCCTAACGCTATAGCAAAATGAACACCCCCCAATGTAAGTGGCTTAGTAATGGATTAGAATAGTGACAGGCTCACCCCTAATCAATACCAATCCTGACCAATTCTAGACCAATATCTGACTAACTGCTAACCTATTCCAACCAATGCCGACCTATTCCTATAGTTTATATCAAATATTAAACGTAGTATGCAGCAAATGTATAAGAATTCGGTAATAGTTTTGATCTAAGAAACTATATGAAGCGATCTCTAATGAAAGCTGATCGATCTGACTTTAATAAGCCATCTACACTGAAAATAACATAAGGTAACACACGAAACCGTGCAAGGGTTTCGGTTCTTGAAACAAAGCCAAAGTTCCTGTCAGGTTTCGTACAAACAAGGTTCCGTACAGATTCTTCTTCTTGTATTTCATATAAAAAGGTTCTGCAGCACGGTTCTCGTACTAGACTCAGTGTTCTACTAATACATTTACGCATGCAAATCTATCCGTTAATCATTGATTCCGAAATCTTCCCCTGGAATTGATCCTTCACTCCTATTCGTACATTGGAAAAAAATAGGTACCTTGTCAGCCCATTCTATTTCAAAAATCAAAACCTTTAAAAAGGCTTTGTATGAACCCAAGTTACCTTCAAAATGATTTTCAGCGGCCTAGGAATCTTTTTCAGAGACACCGTCGATCTTCTACGAAGTCCAAAAAAGGTTCAGAATTCGTTTCAAAAATCGAAAACTTTTTTGGGTTTCATACTATGTGCGAAAATATTTTTTAGTCCCGCAGCATGTGCGAAACCTCTTTGGTTTAATGTTCATACCATTTTTTCCCCTGTAGATTTAACTCCCTTACTCATTTTTGAACCTTCTTTTTCTGAAGTTATTCCCTTCCATTTATGTATTCTTAACCCTTACTCCTAAACCTAATTCTCTTAATCCTTCCGTAGCAGTCTTTTTCTAAATTGTTTTGCTCTCCTGGTTGCTAAATCTATATCCTCAAATCGATTGTTCATCCCTAATGTTGGATCTAAATCCGAAAATCTCTCCTTAAATGTCTAAATCTGCACCTTTAAATCCATACTTAACCTTCGCTGCTGACTTTAAATTGCTAAATCAATCGTTCACCACTGCTTTTTATATCAAACTTATTATTTCAGTATTGAAAGTTTCATATATGTATATTATTCCTTCAGATCATCCGTAGATCAAAATATCTACGTCTCTAAGCCCTTATTTTTACATTGAACAGTTTATTGCAAAATCCAAATCATTACACATCTCCTCAACGCCTGTTTTTGTGTACAGAGCAATAATTGTGTGCACAACCCGTTATTTAAGAATCTAAACTATTTTATTTATCCTAAAGCACTTCGTTATGTTTTATTTTTTATGACCATTATTAACACTGCATATCTATATTGTACTCCTTAAAGCAATCCTGAATCTCGTATTTTAATGTCTAACTGCTGACCTTGATTCTTCATACTTTACAAATAAACTTGAAACTGTATATCCATGGTAAATGTGTTACTCCTTAATTTGAAGTCTTGTTTGTATCTTCAAGCTGTCTTTTACTATTTTTAGTACCTTACCGCGTTGTATAATCTGTTTCATCTGTGCATAAAATTTCGTTCGAAAGCATAACACTAAAGTTTTGTACTAAGAAATACGAAAGTTGAACGGTGTCCTTTGATTTTGGTGCACGATTTTCGTGATACTGTAAATGAGTGGGTTGAGGAGTGAAGTGTGGTACGTCGAAGATACTGTTGCTGAACATGTCCTCCGACTATAGTTGATCGAAGAAAGAAGTTGGATTTCATGAGAAACGTCTTGGCCATTATATGATTACTATTGATGTTTCGCGAAACCTTATCGATGGTAACAACTTTTTCATTGGCGAACCAGCAGCAAAATATTTGGTGTGATAATAGCTGGGGAAAATCGTGTTAGGGATCAATTTTTGTCAAACTATCGTTCATTTTGAATATTTTTGCCATGGCAACTGCCACACCCTACCATGCTGGGGACCCGCCAATGGAATCTGAATGGACCTTGTTCTTTCTGATTTTGAAACCAATAGGAAAGCA